AATTCCCCAATTTAAGGATTTCATTTTCAGAACTACCAACTGTGCTGTCCTATGTCATTCCTTCACACTGTCTTCTCAAGTGTTGCATGCAGGTCACAGAATTTATTTTTCCAGGTATAGCTTTCTTGAAATTTTAACAGCTCCATTTCCAGATTTCCAAAATCTAACCAGTGTAAGCAGGAAAGATCAAGTTCTTCAAATTTAGCTTTATCTGGAAGAGTAAGAAAACATAGGGTTGTTTCCATCTTATGAAACTGTAAAAATCTGTCCCTAAAATTCTTTCCAGCTGTTACAATGCTAGAAAATTCCTTGTAGATATCCTGATTGCATGCAGGATTGTCTGCAAATGCCGTAGAATTTTCTAAATGCATCTTTAGATTTGGAAAATATTTCAGCTATCCACTTTCAAGATCTCTTTCAAAAACGTGCAGTTTTCTCTCAAGTGTTTTGATATCATAAAGCATTCTTTCTGTTGTTTTTCCTATACTTTGTAGTTTTTTGATCAGTACATTGAAGTGTAGGGTAAAATCTGTAAAAAACATGAGATTATTAAGCCAGGACACATCAATGAGCTGTGGATATTCCTTCCTTTTTTCTTTCATAAACAGCCTAATTTCATCCAAGCAGCTACAAATCTAAGACTCATTCTCTGCTCAGCCACCAGACATTATTGTACAAGTAAAGTATTATACTGTGCCTGAACCTCATCAAGAAGTGCTTAAAACTGTCAAAAATTAAGAGCACAAGCCATGATATAATTCACCATTTTTGTGACATCTTTGAGGACATCATTAATTTTTTGCTGCTTTCCCTGGCACAAAGAGCTTCTTGATGCAATAGGGAGAAGCAATGCTTCTTTAACAAAGAACTAAATGAAAATAGATGTTGCCCCCACCATGAATGGTGCCCATCACTAGTAATTGAAACCACTTTTTCTGATCAATGTATTGTGACAAAAAAAGCCACCATACAGCATTGTAAATATCTATCCCTTGTGTTCTTCCATGCAAAGACACTAGTTTCACCAGTTTTTCTCTCATGATGTCACTAACAGTATAATACAGAATTGCTGCTAGCCTTGTATGTTACTTATATCTGTGCTTTCATGTAATCACATGGAGTAACAACTGGCTGCCTTTTGTAAGTCAGTAGTGAACTGCTGACTAACATCACTTGCCATGCGCAGGATTCTTTAGCAGTATTTCTGCTAAGTGGCATCTCTGTTACATAATTTTATCCTTGTTTGGGAAATCATGACAAAGGGAATTATTCCCAGACAACATGGGCCTTTTGATAAAATCCCCATCAGAGAGAGAGGCATATCGTGTTTTGCTATGCATAGTGAAATTTGAAATCTGGCAGCAGTCAAATGATTTGTTTTAGAAAGATAGTTGCAAAAATTAGCCGGGTGTGGTGGTGCATGCCTGTGATCCTGGCACTGGGGAGGCTGAGGCAGGAGGATCACCTTGAGTTTAAGGCCAGCCTAGGCTACATAGTGAGTTCAAGGCCAACTTGAACTAATAGTAAGACCCTTCTCAAAAAACAGCACCCCCCCCCAAAAAAAAAACCCCACTAATGTAGTGGTAATGATATTTCCTCAATTTCCCCTCAAGAAACTCTTTCCTTTCAGCTTTACCAAGTTCAACACTTTTGTAGTTGGTGTCAAAATGCTGACACTTGATGTGTGACACACAACACCTTCACTACACAGAATACATAACACTTTTCCATTGCGTTCAGTCACTCCAAATGACTCTGTCCAGGCCTCTTGGAATGATCTCCCACTGTCTGTTTTCAGTTTTGCTTTTTTTTTGCTGTAGTCCTTTTTTTAGTGTTCAAGACTTGGAGTCTACAAAAACAGAAAATTTTAAAAAAGTGAAGCAATCAGTACAAATCTATCTCCATACCAGTTAACATAAAGAATTGGATATTCCCTGAATCAATAATCTATGGTAGTGATTCTCAGCTGAGGTTCCTCTTGTATTTTATGACCACCAGCGTAAGGGAACAGTGTTTCACTGACCACCATCTTTTGGCCAGCTCTGAAAAAGACATCTGAGTATATTTCCTACCTTGTGGGGGCTTCTGCTAAAATCATAGCCAGCCTAAACAAATATATTTATATATATTTATATATATATATATATATATATATATATATATATATATTTATATATATTTATATATATATATCCTCACTCTTGTCTTTATAAATTCTTCACAAACAACAAAATACGATGCTGTAGATCTGCAGATCCAAATATGCCAAGGGGACAGTACGACATTAAAAGAATCTCATTCTCTTAATTAAAACAACTCTTTGCTAAATCATAGATATTAAATTTCAGTTTTTCATAAGAAAACTCAAAGCTAAAATCTTGTTAATAAAAACAAATGTATTAAAACATAGTGCCAGTGCAAGCAAATATATATATAAATGTATATATATAACCTTGGCAGTGCACTGACCAGCCATGTGAAGGCTCAGATTAATAAGTCGTGGCTTGTGACCTCATCACCTGGCACCACTACTCCTTTCCAAGCATGCACATGGCCCCTGTGTGCACTGTTATCTGATGCTTGGCTGCTGGGGCGACTTGGCTCGTGTGCTGACAGAGAGGGCTCTGCATGCCTGCTGCAGCATATGTGTTATAGGTTCACTACCACTGACCTAGAGCCTTTATACTGAGTACCATCCCCAGCCCTTTTTTTTTTTTTTTTTTTGGCAGCAGGGATCCAACTCAGGACCTTGTGCTTGCCAGGCAGGCGCTGTGCCACTCAGCTAAATCCCCAGCCCTGGTTTGAACTTTTGGTCATCCTGCCTCAGCCTCCAAGAGTGTTGGGATTACACATGTGACCATGCCCAGCTCACAAATGTACATACATATAAATATATATATATACATATAAATATGTATGCGCACATGCAAATGCATATATATACCATACAGTCTCATACACATTTGTCATGATCATTATCTTACAATAAGTGTACTTATATACTTATTCATATTATCACATAATTTTATAATAGTAATATCCTTCTGCTTTCTATGTTTTTATTTGATGCTTATTAATACTAACTTTGGTTCTTGTTTTAAGTTTTTTTCTGATAGCTGCTATAAGCCAGTTACCTGAACTGTAAAGGCTTAAAATGACAGAAAATATCATTTCACAGTTCTGGAGTTGAGAAGTCCAAAATTAGTTTCATTGAATCAAAATCAAGATGTCAACAAGGCCATGATCCCTCCGTAGGTTTTAGAGGAAAATTTATTTCTTGACTTTTCCAGTTTTTCGTGTCTCCTGACATTCCTTCACTTGTAGCCACAACATACCAATTTCTGCCTACATCCTTATGTCACCTTCTCCTTCCGTATGTTGACTCTCTCTCTACCTCTCCCTTATAAGGGCGTTTATTGTCTATTTGGATAATCCAGGTTTATCTCTTCATTTCAGTTTCCTTAAATTAACCACACCTGAAAAGCTCCTTTATCCTTATAATATTTACAAAATCTAGGGATTAGGACCTAGTGTCTTTGGGTGGCCTCTTTTCAGCCTGCCCTAGTCTTCATTACCAGGTCATTGAAAAAGAAAAACAGTAGAAACATAATACATATTCTGACTGCCGGACCAGTTGAAATATCCTTGACTATAATTAGTCTGGCTCTAAAGTTAGGGCTTGATGGGAAACGGATATACCAAATCTCCATTTTAATTTGTTACAATGAAGCTTTTGAATCCTTATTCACGTGATGTGGGGGCAATAACACTGCGGTTGGCAGGTAATAAAAAGTAGGCACATTCAAGGCTCTGTTTTTCTTTTTATAACTTCAGTTGTTCACATATCTCCTTTTACATTGTGAATAACTCTGTTTGCACCCTTTTACTCTGCAGCTAACCAAATCTAGAAGTCTTCCTCTTGGTAGAACAGAGTACTGTCGAAAGTTTTCTCTGGCTAGAGGTATAGATCTCTTAAAGCAAGGACCAAGCAGATGGTATACTGTGAGAAAACAAACAGGGTTGGTGGTGAGAGTTTTTTTTCTTTAATCCCCAGCTTGTTATTAAATCATAAAGTACTTTTTAGTTGTATCTGTAAGTTGTAGCCATATTCCCCTCAAGGGAAAATTGATATCATTAAAATTGCAACGAATAGGTATATGGCTTTGTCATATACCTAAAGCCATATACCCAAAGCCATATAGGAATATGGCTTTGTCATAATTTCTCTAAGTAGTAGGGCAATATGCTTGTTCTCTGCCTGATATAGTGCTTATCCTAAAAAGTGGTACATGGTTCATTTCCTTTTCCCCAAAGGGGACATAAATTGCAGATTTGAGAGATATAAAATAGGCTGTGCCCCTCTGAATAACAAATTAAAGTAAGTCTATATTGCAGTTACCAGATAGAGATAAGGAATAACACAAATAAATTGGGTTTATTTTTTTATATTTGTGTTCTAAGTTAACTTAGGAAGGATTCCTGAAGGAGGGGAAATCTGAGAAAAGACTTTAAATAACTGTAGTTTTCAAATTTAGGTGTTGAAGAGATTTATATGGGGAAAAGAGAAATTTGAGAGGAACTAGAAATAGAGTTTTCTAGCAAAGAGTGATGAAAGCCATTAGGCATGCAAAGACCAGTTGAAGAAATAACTATTGAAAAGATGAGTAGAATGCAAGGAATGTGACTGTTCAATAATTTCAAGTGTATTAATTTAGACTTTAAGTTCTCTATATACTTAATATAAACTATACATTATTTTAAAAATTGATTTAACAGTCCTTAAATGAAGTTTTGAAGTTATCAAGTTATTATCTTAGAATAACTACAATCATGTCATTAAACACTATCAGCAGATCAAAGTTTCCTTTGCAAGTAATCCTCTTATCTTAGGTCTGGCATTTTTTTATGATAGGGATCTGTTTTCCTGTTGGAACATTTAGTGCATTTGGTATTAAGACTTTAACCTGTTTTGTTTTCTATTTCCCCCCCTTTACTGGTAGCTTAGTCAGACCATGAAACTGGCACATCATCGGCTGGCATCCTTTAAAACTGTGAGTGAAAAAATGTCATCAGTGTTTCCAAATGGCAAAAAGAAAACCTCTCCCACTCAAGAGGTAAATTAATTTCCAATACACTATTTGTAAAGGTACACATAAAACATAAACTTTAGTTGGGCAAAGCCTGTAATTTCACATTTTATTTTAGTAATTTGACCACCATATCATTTTGAGATTATTTTAAGATTCACATGGAAAATCCAGAGTGTTGCTGTTACCTAATTCTATATTTGGTATTTATGTTTTCTTTTAGAAAGTGAAATTCAAAAATCCATTATTTGTTGTGATGGAAGAGAAAGAACAAAATCAGTGGCATTGTCATGATCTTCAGAATATTCTGCCAGAAGCCCAGGGTGATTTGATAGAGGTCCAGAGTGTTGAGCCTGAAACGCAAAGTGTTGAGCCAGATACCCAGGCTATTAATTTGGCAGTTCAGTCTGCTGTGCCAGAAGGCCAGGCCATTAAGACAGAAACTCAGAGCATTATGTTAAGAACCTGTAGTTTCAAGCTAGAAGATGGAAATATTGAGTTGGAAGCCCAGGATTTTCTACCCACAAATCAGGCCTTTCTACCCAAAGACAATTGTGTTTCCCCCAAAGGCCAGTATACTCTACACAACTGTCAGGACCAGAATTTTCTACATAATGACCAGTATTTTCTACTTAGAAACCAACATGTTTACTCCAGAGAACAGGATATTCTATTCAAATGTCAAGATGAGAATTTTCTACCCAATGACCAGGATTTTCTTCATAGAGACCAGTGTGTCCTTCCCAAAGACCAGAATATTCTACCCAAATGCCAGGATCAAGACTTTCTACCTGAACACCAGGGTTTTCTACCCAGAGACCAGTATCTTCTTCCCCAAAACCAGAAGGTTCTACCCAAATGTCGGGACCAAGACTTTCTACCGGAAGGCCAGGATTTTCTACCCAGAGACCAATGTGTTCTTCCCCAAAATGAGAATATTCTACCTAAATGTCAGGACCAAGATTTTCTACCAAAAGGTCAAGAATTTCTCTCCAAAGACCACAGTATAATACCCAACTGTCAAGACCAGGATTTTCTTCCCAAAGACCAAAGTGTTCTTCCTAAAGGCCAGAATACTCTATACAAATGTCAGAAGCAGGATTTCCCACCCAGAAATCAGGTAAAATAGACTAGAAAGGCAATTTAAGAAGAAGGAATGAGCTACTGAGGGTTAGCTACTTAGAGGTACTTGGAGTGGGATTTGCAAGGATTGTATTATAGCTGATTTAGACATCCATGATTAGGAAATAGTTTCCTGATTGGTTTCTCAAAACTCCAGGGTTCATGCTAAGTGTTAAAGTATTATCAGCAGCATATTACCCCATCTGGACCATTTATTTACTTGCTTACATTCTTTTTAAAAATATTTTTCATTAGAGAAACTATTTCTGTCAGCCATTCTCTGCTTTTACAGCTGAAAGATGGAAAAAGGAGTGGCCCACAGGTACCCAACAGCATCTTTCACACAGGTTCCAAGGCCAGCCTTCCACCAGAGATCAGTTAGAGCAAAAGGAAGAAGGGGATTAACAGAAAGTAAGTTAGTTAGGGTGTGGCTGGGCAGAGATGCCCTTTGTACTCTGAACTCAGGTTAACTCCAGATTTCTCTCTGAAGCCTGAAGTTTTAAGTTAATTTGTCATTCTTAAGTAAGTGATTAATTTTTTTGTGTTTTTTTAGGAAGCAAATTTGAAACCGTCAGCACCAATTTTGAGAGTCAGGCAAGGGAAAGAGGAGCTTCCTCTGGATGTCCATCAGGATCTATTCAGGCATGATCAGGCCTCTACCAGGGACAAGGTAGAACAGAAAAGAGATGGAGACCAGCAAGAGTGGAACTATTTTTTTTTTTTGGTACCGGGGATTGACCTCGGGACCTTGCGCATCCAAGGCAGGCGCCTGAACCACTAAGCTAAATCCCCGGCCCCTTTTTTTTTTTAAGAGTGGAACTATCGAGGGTTGAGTTTTGAGCTTACAAAGATTGTTAAACTAAACTTCAGAACCGACAAAAAATATGATTTCTGTTTTATTCCATAATATTTCATATTGCCCTGAGTTAAATTACCTTAAGGTTCTCTACAAAGCCTATATTACTACCATCGTAGCACTGTTACTGGATACTGTTTGGTTTGTGCATATGTGGTTTTTCTTTTGGAAAGTCCACTTTAGAAAGCATCCATTCTCTGATATGACAGACAAGAAAGGGAGAGAAGACTTTTCCCTGGCAGGTTGTCAGTATCTGCTTCCTAAATCCCAATTCCAGAACTTCATCAGAGAGCAGGTAGAACAAAATAAAAACAGATAAAGAAATGGGAAATAAAGTAACTAGGTTTTATAAATTCTGAACGACTGGTAATTTGAAATATAGAATCAGGAACTTTGAGGCTAAGCTAAAAGTATGTCTTTGATTCCTTCCCATATTAGTAAGATCATAGTCCTACATATTAAAACAATGCTCTTACTTCAGGAAAGATTCATGGAGTGTTAAGCCCCAATCAACTGAATTCCTACTGGTCTTCTCTTTTTTTCTCATCTACCCCACAACTAATGAAACAAAAGACCCTGTTCTGCTGAACTATAAAAATGAAACCAGTTCTGCCGTTGAACAGGCTGATATATTAGTTAGACTATTTTAATTTACTGTGATTGTTCTCCAACTCTTGCTGAATCCCACAGTATTACCACAAGCGTAGTGACCCTACATGAACAAGTGAGGAAGATGTAGCAGTGTTGGCTCACACCTATAATCTCAGCACGCTAGGAGGCCGAGGCAGGAGGATTCCAAGTTGGAGTGTAGCCTGGGAAACTTAGTGACTTAGTGAGAATCTGTCTCAAAAATAAAAAGTGAAAATAGGATTGGGAATGTAGCTTAGTGTGAAGGCCCTGGGTTCAGTCCCCTGTACTGGGGGAGGGAAAAAGAGACTAGATTAGTTTCTCAGACTCTTCTGCCTATGGTTTGGGATTTGGGATTAAACTCTACAGAATTGGGTTAAAAGTGTACTATCTTTACTCATCTCAAAACTTGTAAGAATATTCTTACCTAGTATCCTTGCTGAAGCCTGTTAAAATTAGTATATTGCCCTGGTAAGGTTTTGGTTTTTTTTTTTCTTTTTTCTGTTTTTGTTTTTCCTTTAGAACAGGTTTCTCAAGCAAACCTCGTCTTTTATGACAGAAGAAAGAGTAAGAGAGGAATTGCCTCTGGAGTGTCATCAATATGTTCCTTCTAAGATCCAGGACAAATCCACCTCTAGAGAACAGGTAGAGCAGCGTAGAGAAGGTGTGATCAAAAATATGGTGAATATTTAAATTTTTTAAAAAAAATTATTACAAGGAAAAACACATTCCCACTTATCTCCCTCAAAATATTCCCTCTTGCTTTGAACACACTTTTCCCATTATTCTTACCACTTTCTGAAGGAGCTGTTAAAGTTCTCTTTTAGGAGTGTCTAATTTTGCTGTTGTGGCTGCTTCAGTGTCCTGATTCATTAAAAAATCTTTCTCTTTTATGTTCATTTTGA